CCTTCCCTTCCCCTCCTCCCTCCTCTCTCCCTCCTCCCCTCTCCCTTCCCCTTCCTTCCCTTCCCCCTCCCTCCTTCCCCTTCCCTTCCTTCCCTTCCCTTCCCTCCCTCCCCCCCCCTTCCCTCCCTTCCTTCCCTCCCTTCCCCCCTCCCCCTCCCCTCCCCTCCTCCCCCCTCCCTCCCCTCCCTCCCCCCCTCCCCCCTCCCCCCTCCCTCCCTCCCCTCCCTCCCTCCCCTCCCCTCCCTCCCTCCCTCCCTCCCTCCTCCCTCCCTCCCTCCCTCTCTCTTCTCCCCTCTCTTCTTATCTCCCTTTCCCTCTCCCTCTCCCTCTCCCTCTCCCTCTCCCTCTCCCTATTCCTCCTTCCCTCTCTTCCTCTCTCCTCTCTTTCTCTCCCTCTCTCTCTCCTCCTCTTTCTCTCTCCTCCTCTTTCTCTCTCCTCCTCTTTCTCTCTTCCCTCTCTCTCTCTCCCTCTCTTTTCTCTCTCCCTCTCTTCTCTCTCCTCTCTTTCTCTCTCCCTCTCTCTCTCCCTCTTCTCTCTCCCTATCCTCCCTCCCTATCTTCCTCCCTCCCTCTATTCCTCCTTCCTCTCACCTTCCTCTCTTCCTCTTTCTTCTTCTTTCTTCCCCTTTCTTCCCCTTTCTCCCTTCTCCCTTCTCCCCTCTCCCCTCTTCTCCCTTCTCCCCTTCTCCCTTCTTCTCCCCATCTCCCCATCTCTCCCCTCCCCATCTCCCCTCCCATCTCCCCATCTCCCCATCTCCCCATCTCCCCATCCCCCTCCCCCATCTCTCCCATCTCCCCATCTCCCCTCTCTTCTCCCCTCTCTCTCCCCTTCTCCCCTCTCTCTCCCTCTCCCCCTCTCTTCTCTCCCTTCTCCCCTTCTCCCCTTCTCTCCCTTCTCCCCTTCTCCCCTTCTCCCTTCTCCCCTTTCTCCCCTCTCTCTCTCCTCTTCTCTCCTCTTCTCTCTCTCTTCTCTCCCCTCTCTCTCTCTCTCTCTCTCTCTCTCTCTCTCTCTCTCTCTCTCTCTCTCTCTTCTCTCTCTCTCTCTCTCTCTCTCTCTCTCTCTCTCTCTCTCTCTCTCTCTCTCTCTCTCTCTCTCTCTTCTCTCTTCTCTTCTTCTCTTCTTCTCTTCTCTCTTCTTCTTCTTCTTCTTCTTCTTCTTCTTCTTCTTCTTCTTCTTCTTCTTCTTCTTCTTCTTCTTCTTCTTCTTCTTCTTCTTCTTCTTCTTCTTCTCTTCTTCTCTTCTTCTTCTTCTTCTTTCTTTCTTCTTCTTCTTCTTCTTCTTCTTCTTCTTCTTCTTCTTCTTTTCTTCTTCTTCTTCTCTTTTCTTCTTCTATCTCTTCTTTCTTCTTCTCTTCTTCTCTTTCTCTTCTCTTCTCTGCTCTGCCTCCCCCTTGAGATTTTTTTTTCTTTTTTTCTTTTGTTATTTTCCTTTCTATAGATAATTGTTTTTGCTTCCCAGAGTTTTACAAAAAAAAAGGCATTTTGAATATTTTATCTGATTAGCATGTGTAAGGAAGTAAAAAAAGAATTGAGTATGACAATTTGCAGCTTGACAAATTACCTTGTATCTTCTAGCACAATGCCTGATCGCCGACGTCAGCGCCATCAGAGGACGCGGCAAGATGCTGGGGGTAAGCTCAGAATACAGTTGAATTTGTTTTGTGAATATGCTGATATGTTTTAAAACAATGATGTCTTTTTGTGATAGGTATTGTTGTTTCATGTTATTTTTTTTTTACTGGTAGAGCATTTTGTCCCTTTGGTTAAGATGCATATTTTTGATGCCACTTTGGGAACTTCAACTTTTTATATATTTGAGGGGAAAATTCCTAAATGTATTGTTTGGCTTCAGTCCGGGATGACCCTGTTGGAGCTAGTAACCGAGATGAGGTGAGGCCAAAAGCACCTCCTCCTGAAACGACTAGACCCGAAAGGCAAGGAGGAAGTGGAGTAAGCTACGCGGAGCCCAAGGAGTATGAAGCAGGTTCGTAGGGTCTGGATTAGGTTATTATTGTTGATATTTATTTAGATTGAAGTAAAAGATGATTTCTGAGTATAAACCTAACTTTTTTGAGATGCATGATTTATAACTGTTAAATCAGAGATGATAGACAAATAGAATTTAAGGTGCTTTGTCTAGAAGGTTAAGGAAAATATATGGACTTATCTTCTAAAGATGTGTACTTGTCTGTTTTTTTAGTGACCATCATGCCAGATAAGGATGCTCCATCTGAACCTCAGAAGTACCGTCGCCGAGAAGTGATAAGTAATTGGTCAAGGTATGAGGAATTGCCACCAGATGAGGAACTTGAAGATGGAGAAGATTATATGATTGGGGAAGACTTCTCCACGATTCTTGAACAGCAAGGTAAATGTTTGAAATTTGTAACTTTGGTTGAAATAAGATCTTAAAAAATGATAGATTGATCTGTAAGAGCAGGGGGTGTTGCCTTCTTTTCAAGGTCTTTTATGAGGCAGATAGAAGCTGTTACCCTAGGTGGATACCCTTTATATGCTAGGTCTGCAAGGAGGCTAAAACCTGTATCTAGTGAAACTCTTATTATCCATAAGTATTAATGTTTGTCTTATATTCTGAAGTAGGTTAAGCATATTAGTACATGGATCAAATGCTTCTTTTACTGAAATTCTCACACACACACAAAAAAAAGTTTGGTGGTCTGCAAACCAAAATATGCATTAGAGACTTCAAAATTCAGTCATGCTTTGGCATCCACTGGGAATATTAGTGTGTACCTAGTTGTATGATTTATGTCCTTTATGGATTAAGATTCAAAAACCTTTTATTCTTTAACAAAATTACAATAGTATCAATATTTACATATAGAAACTTCTGATGTGTCCCTCTGAATATACGGAAGCTAATACCTCCTGTTCCACAGCAAACTCAGCTGATGGTGGGTTCTTCAAGATGAAAGGTGAAAAAATGTGGGATGACACGGAAATTAGCATCCTTACTTCTCATGGTCTAGGAGCACTGAATGTGGCTGACCTTGTGGCTGCTTTTAACACCATACCGCTACATGAAAAACTTAACATCCCAGAGGAAGCACTACCTGTAAGAACTCTCTTAGTTTTCTTTTGTTTTATTTTGTGTTTTAGGGTCTGTGATGTGATGAGTGAAGTGACAAAACTTACTTTTGTTTGTGAATTGCTAACTGTTGTCTGGAAGTAGAATTATTGTTTGAAGAAAGAACATGTATGATGGTACTTAGAGGAGAAAAAATAATGCTGGTTATATATACACTATTTGCTAGGTTGCTTACGATTTGAGTGTTTAGTCTGGAAATTATCATCTCAATTCTCTGAGCAAGGCATGTTGTTAGCATAGATATGGTAGATATAGATATAGCTATAAGAAAAAAAATACCATAAATATTTTCCTATGATAAACCCTAATGTTCTTCTTTTTACTCCAATCTAGTGACTAATGAATATACTTCATGTTTGTTTCTCAAGATCACTGCAATATAAACTTATTTTTTCCTGCATTGTGTGCTATTTAGGTGTAAGGATATTGAGATAGTAAATGAAGTGTATGTTAAATTTGATGGGTTATGTAAAGACATACAGACTGGAGTAAGTGATGTAAATAGAATGGTAAATGGTAGATAGATACAAGGATAGAGCCAACTAGTAATCTGTAGTAATCACTAAGTTAAGGATAACAGTAAGCATGTTTGAAATGCCATGTCAAGCACTTTTCATCAATATTATTATTTTTTTGTATCAGTTTGGATCTATATTGTGAATCTAAACTGATGATATAAATGGCAGTGTTATTTTCCAGATTTCAGATCACTGCATATAGGGGTGTTTGTGTGTCTGTGCAAATCTGTCTATGTGTCTGTGTGGGGGATATTGTTATATATATGTTATGATTTAAAATATGCCATAAATTTTAGGTTAAAGTTGAATGTTGTAATGAGAAATATTGAACACCAAATTTGACACCAAATTCAAACTTTTTTTCTTTTTCATTTACAGAAGCGTGTGGTCAAACATTATGTAAATCTCGCAGAAGACCATCTGAAGTTGTACAAACCTAGCAGTGGTTATGCGGACTGCATGGATATTAACGAAAAGATTCTCCAGAGTCTGAAAATCAGTGAGGATGAGCCCCTTACGCTTGCGAATGATGAGGAAGCCGATGATAGACAATGCTCTAAGAATGCAGTAGATGTGGCATTGACTCTGGGTAGTGAATTTGCTCCAGAGCCTGATGATGTTGATCTAGATACGCTAATTAGAGAGCCAAGCCCAGAGAAACGGCCAAGTCCAGTAAAAGAGATGAAGAGGAGGGTCAAAGAGACTACCCCAGTGAAAGATTTTAGCCCTGCTAAGGAGTATAGTCCAATGAGAGACTTTAAACCTGTGAAAGATATTAGCCCAATGAAAGAATTTAGCCCTGTTAAAGAATTTAGTCCAATTACAGATTTTAGTCCTGTTAAAGAAGTTAGTCCATTTAAAGAAGTTAGTCCATTTAGAGAAATTAGTCCACTAAAAGAACCGAGTCCATTTAAAGAAACTAGTCCATTTAAAGAAATTAGCCCACTTAAGGACATTAATCCAATGCAGGAAGCTAGTTTTATGAAAGAAGTTAGCCCTCTTAAAGAAATTAGTCCCATGAAAGAGATTCCCCAAGTGAGCAATGAAACTAACTCTATGACTGAAGAACCTAAAGTGGAGGAGATGCCTAAGGTAGACAGTGAAGTCACTCATGTTCCAAAGGAGAGAAGAAGAGGTAGAAGAGAAGCAAATGCCTCAGCACAAAACAACAAGAAATCAGAAAATGAGAAGCTAAAAGAAGTAAGAGACAAAAGTCCCAAAGAAAAGGTAAAGGAGAAGAGTCCCAGGGAGAAGAGAAAGGAAAAGGGCCACAAGGAACATGTCAAAGAGAAGAGTCCAAGAGAGCATGTGAAGGAGAAGAGCCCAAGAGAGCATGTGAAGGAGAAGAGCCCAAGGGAACAAGTGAAGGAGAAGAGCCCACAGCAAGTGAAGGAGAAGAGCCTGCAGCAACAGGTGAAGGAGATGATTCACAAAGAACAGGTAAAAGAAACAAATCTAATCATACCAGACTTTAGTATGACAAAGAAAGCTGATAATAACGATTCCCCGATGGAATTCAATTTTGGATTGCTACGGGCTTCTGCATCTGCCCTTTCCGAGTCTAAGAAGACTGTCAAGGATGAGAAGAAGGAATTCCAGCTGCCAACACCCCTAAAGCTAGAGGAGAAGGAGGAATCGGTTCCGGAAGGACCAGTGATAGACTTGGATGAGCCTGTGAAAGCAGAGAAACCTGTGTTACTCCTTAGTAAGACTGAGGCTGATGACCTGGAGGATTGGCTAGATTCTGTACTTGATGATTAATTACAGAAAATGAGTTTTCATTGTTTCAGCATTTTTCTGTGGCCTCAGTGTGTGATATCATGTTTTTTTTTTTAAAGGGATTGAACATTATTAAGATACTTTAATGTGTTTTTTCTCAGAAATAACATGTAATTGATTGACATTGTTTTACTTTATATTATGTGAGAACATTTGTCATATCTGTTTTACCTGCTATGTTAATTTAATGATGGAAGTACGGCTTAGGTAAAAATTCTTACATCTGGTAAAGAAAAAAACGAAAAAACAAAAAACATATATCAAGAAATCAGTGTAAAAAAGAAAAGAAAGCCTATACTTAACATTTGTTCCTTTATCAAAGCAATATAGATTTCAGCTTCATTGCCATTTGAAGGGCAGTTTTAAAGGACTTTTCATGGAAATAAATGTAAACTATAACTTTAGACTAATTGCTTATTTATGCATGGCTTTGTGTTGCTGGTTAATAATTGCATGATTTACCGGATATGTTTTTGTTCATGTAGTGCAGGAGTTCATGTGAATTTTGAAGAATATGATATATGGGAAGTATATCACCAAAACCATAGTAATCAGTTATACATATGATGTTCTTTATATGTACATAGATAAAGAAATGCCCACACTTATGGATATACTTACATATGTGCATGCACACACAAGCACAAGCACAAGCAGACATTGACATGCACAAGCCCACACTCACATGTACAGAAACAAACATATGTGCACATGCAAACACACACACACACATACTTGCACACATGTGCACACACGCACACACACATGCAAGCACACACATGCACACAGACTCATGCACACATGCACCCACACATGCACATTCACATGCGCACACACACATGCATGTATGCACAAATGTATATACACACACATGCACACACACACATGCATGTATGCACAAATGTATATACACACACATGCACACACACATGCACACACAGGCACATGCACATATGCACTCACACGCGCACACGCACACACACACACAAACACACACACATGCATGTGTAAACGTATTTACATGCTTACACACCCAGACACATACACACCCAGACACATACACACCCAGACACATACACACCCAGACACATACACACCCAGACACATACACACCCAGACACATACACCCAGACACATACACACCCAGACACTAAGACGCATATATACAGTATATATATGATATTTATGTATGTATAGAAATAATGTATCTGTATTTAATCATATTGTTTATTTTGGAATGTGATAAGGATTATATTTTCTTGAAGTGAAAACAATTGTTCAGATGTCCACTTAAGTATAATGACATGGATGGAATTTATTTACATACGTGAGAACGAGAATCTCTGAAAATAAGGGAATGTTGCAAGTATTATCTTTTTAGACTGCACTTGCCCATGATTAATTGATATAATATAACCATTAGTTGTTAATATTTTTTGTTTGTTTTATTGATAATTTAATCATCTTCAGAACAAACATTTTACCATTTTACTTTTGTTATCGAAATCTAGTTGACTGGATAAAATTTTGAAGGTAATGGTCAAGGATGTCGCCTGATTGTGTTTCCCATTTGCTGGTTGTGCGCTGGCAGCTCTTTGGTGTGATTGACGCTATCCAACTGAGTAACCTTGAAGATGTGATAGTTGGTCAGTCTCGAATAGACTAAAACGTTGAAAAATGCACTTGTTACGGTTCCATGGCAAGATATGTATTGTATGATTGTTAGATTTGACATTATGATGATGTGACTTGAAAGAGTAAATATTTACAGACATTGAGTTTTCTTCATTGACCTGCATTCCTTGTAGAGGATTTTCCTTTAATCTATTGATTTTATGTTTTTATTTTATTTTATTTTTTTTATGTTAGCATTTAGTACTATGATAGACATTATAGTTTATATGATTATATATTTTCCTTACTTTTCATAAAATGGTCAGTTACCTTCCAAAAGTAATATTTTCATCCTTTAATAAAGTATATTAAAGCAGAAAGAAAAAGTGCTTGGTTATAATTCCAATGAGACTGTGGGTGTTTTACCAGAGTACTAAAGTTCATGGCAAATGTAAGCTGATTTTATAGTCTTCCTTGTTT